TTCTTGGAAAATTAGCTATGACTCATAAATTACTAGACTAGTAAAATCGATTGGAATGGATTAATAAAAAAAAATTCAAATAACATGCTAGTGGATTATTTTACAGGCTATTTGGTGAACATACAAAATGAACCAAGTAACATTTTAATACCCAATATTCCGTTTGACAACAAAACAATATGTCATATGAATCAATTTAAGTTTTTTTATAGTGTTTGGTGTTAGAGAATATTGAATTAAATTATTCAAAGTTTAAGCTTTTAGTACATATGTACTCTTATACATCTCTAATATATATATATATATATATATGTCATTTATTTTACTAAAACAAATAAATTTTATTATAGTGAAAATGATTTATCTTGCGCGAAAAAAAATGTATAAATGCCCCGCAGGAAGACCAGCGCCAAGCCCTGCGATTTCTTTATTTTTACTGTTTAATTATTATTCAACTTCTTTAATCGCATTATCGTATAAGTAACAAAGTACAAAAGTTTTAAAAAAGGACAAAAAGAAGATCAAAAAATAGTCATGCAACCGACTGTTGTAAACTTCTCGCATCAAAAAACTTGCGATTTATGAGGCATTGTTATTTTTAACGGTAAAAATGTTAGATATACATTATAAATATACATACATATATTATGTGATTAAAACTCCTTAGAAAATTTTACAACCTTGTGTTACATTTTATTTGAAATACAGTCATAATATTTTACAACTAATTTAATACTAGCCATAAAATGCGAAATCTAACTAAATACAACTAAAATTTTCATCAAGATCAAATTTATAAAATCAGATATTTTATTACATATTTGAACTTACACCTATTTTAAAAAGCTCAAAATAATTTTACGATCAATTAATCAATTCATATAAATATGTCATTCTTGTTTGTTTTTAATACACCAATAACTTCAATATTAATTCAACACACTTTTATATAAATTTCAGACAAAAAAAATTACTTCACACCATTTACTATATTAAAGTATTGACATTTCATGAAGTCTTCAACCTTACAATATTTACCATCATATTAAAATCAAATTTAGATATTACAATTATACACTAGTTTTTTGCGTAATTTATAAAATACTCCATCACATCTAAATATCTTTGAACTTTTTATGCAAAGGTTTCAATTGAAAAAATTAAATAATACTTTTTTGAACTTAGTTTTGTAAGATCAGAGTTTGTGCTGATAGAAGTCCTTTAGTATAATACAAACGATACTTGTAACTTTAAATGTTCAAATTACTTTCCTGGATGCTTCTATAAAAATATTTTTTTCAAGTATTATGAATATCCGTCATTAATAAATATAAGATGAAACATTTGTATGGGTTTATTCATTGTTCACAACAGTCAATTTCTTCAAAGAAATAACGTTCGATTAATCAAAATGTATACATAATTTATTATAATAATTGTATTACTTAACTGTACTAAGTTAGAATTACTTGTGTTATAAAATAATCAAAAATTTGATTAAAAACTATTTAGTTATTAAGGTAAACATTTTTTATTGTATAAAAAAACTATACACACACATATATATATATATATATATATATATTTGTAAAAACCTGAAAGATCAATAGCTCTTTAATACTGAGGTTTGGATGACATTTTAATAACTTTTGAATTTTTCATTATTTCGTAATTCAAACATTTTTGAAACCCGTTCTTTAGTCCCTAACAAGTCCATAACTATATTTAAGAGGCAAATGTGGAATTTATATTATTTGGAAATATTTATTAACATTTTTCTTATATAGAATGTTCATGAAGTAATGAAACGGATTTCTATTGTTTTCATTGTTTATAACAATTGACCTGTTTTAACACCTGTATATACAAAGTGTTCAGTAAGTAAGGAAACAAGTCAATTTTTATAAACCACGAGAACAATAAAAAAACCGTTTCCTTATATACTAAACACTCTATATAATAATGTTCAAATTATTGTAGTCGTATTTCAAAGTAGAATAAGTACTTTGAACTATTAAACTGAAATTACAACTAATAACTGGATTGTTCAAATTTTGGATTATAAAATCCAATAAATTTGATTGAATTATTTTTATTTAGAAATCAGAACGCTTAATATATGTATAATAATATATATAATATATGTATCAAAAATCTAATCAGTACATTGATTGTAAATTTAATTCAACAAAAAATTATGAAAACGTATCTCTTTTCAAATAAAAATATTTTTAGGAAATCAAAAAGTCTTCATTTTAATAATACTAAAATTGTTCTTTTTTTTCGAGTAATAATTAAATAATTTCATTACTTTAGATTTGCTACGATTAAAAATTTCCCGAGGACTATCAAATTATGATTTAGGTTAATATACCTAATATTTAAGATTTAAAATCATTGAGTTATAAAAAATTATAAACCATAAATATACATTTTTCTCGATAATTTATATTTTAATTTTATTATACTTTCGCTATAGTAATATATCAATATAATCATCTAGTAAATTTTACTGCTTTTTAGAGTTTAGTCGAATAAAACTTCTACATATAAATCTATACGATTTATATGTTTTTACATAAAAAAGAAATTGCCATACAGTCTTTGATGAGAATATATAATGGTTAGGTGTTCTAACTCAACTTAGGACGTGATGTGAACAATAATATGTAACGTTCTGTTATATTTCATAGTACCCAAATAACAAACGAACGAACGTGTCCCAAACATATATGAACCGAATCATATCTTACACACTAAATTCGTATGAAAATGGATTATTTTAAGGGTGATGTCAATTGAATAAATGCATAAATCTAATTTATTCAAGTACCTCATCAGACCAAAACCATGAATTAATTGATAATCTTTGTCCTTCACAAAATACAAATTTGTATTTTAACCTGGTTAACCAGGATAATACAATCAAAAGTTTAATTATTCATTAATACTTAATAAACCTAACAATAACAATATGTATTTAGGTTAAACTATACAGACCTTAAAGATCTTGAGCTAATTAAAGTTAGAGAAATTTCATACCATCATGATCTTTCACACTAAGGTGTATATTCTTAATCCACTGTATAACTATAATAAACTTTTCATTTAAAAAGAAAAAAAAATTTCCTCCTATCATTATAACATTAATAATTTATTTAACATATCTGTGTGTTACATATTGTAGCCATCATTGATGAGAGGAAATGTTTTTAAATTAATAATTTAGCTCGTAATAATGAAAAACTTTTTTATTTAATATTCACAATATCAGGTCTATTTTTTGCCAATTACTAAGAATTGGTGGTAAAATTGTACAAATAATTGTTGCGTTTAATGCTTTTTTTAATAAAGTTTAAAAAAAATAATTTTTTATATTTGAAAAAACATATTCAAACAATAACACGTATTCCCTGTAGAATAGCTAACAAACAAATATGTACCTTTTTCAATTATGTATATACTTGAAATATGGAAATTACAGTTTAAATTTTTAATGAAAAAAGGAAAATGTATATCACTTCATTCTAAAAATTTCAAATATAAATTACATTTACTTACATCAGCTTGAATTTCAAGTGTTATTTAAAATTTTTAACTTTGATGTACAAACAATTGTTTCAATTACTTTGGTAGAAAAATAAATATAAAATTTTGTCGCTATAAATTTGTACGTTTGTTAAATTAAACGTATAATTTAGATTCAATTTCAAATAAATGTTGCTACAATAAACAAAATGATACCTGGACTTAATAGTGACGGAATCTGCCTCTTGGATACTAATAAATTTAAAACTGATGACTTTGTTCCTGCACAAGAATATCAGAAGGTTGGCATTAGAACGACAAAAGGACGCTATAGAAGTAGAGCAGTTTTATGTTTCAAGTTAATATGAAACAACAGATGTAAATAAAAACTACAGTTTCTATCCAACAACTTAACTCACCATCAGATTTGGTCGATACTTACCACGAAGCTATTAATTTGGAAAACTTAATTACAATTTCAAAACCGAAATCATCAACTTCTTAAAAACGTATGAAACGTGTTCAATTATATTATCAGCTACGCCTATGAAAGAAGAACTATAAAAGGCAAAAGAATAACTAAAAGTAGTTGTAAAAAAGGCTTAAGCTCTAGCAAAAAACCATGTCTGAAACTAAAGTAAATAAAAAACTTAAAAAAAGGGTTATAAAAAAAATTAAAAGAGTTTGTCAGTACAATTTGAGCGTAACAACTAATACAAATGACGCTCAACATTACACCGAAGAATTGTACAATTGATTGTTTTTGAAGAAATTGGAGGGACGGAGGTTTATAACTGTTATAGAAAATGATAACTTTAATCATGTGATTTGGCTTTAACATTCATCTGTAATTTTTTTTTGTATAGAACAAAAGAAGTGTAATCTTTATGAATATTGAATAGTAAATTTTTATGTAACTTTTTAAGTGTTTTAACCCTCGTTCTTTAAAAAAAGTTTTTCGACGTATTAAATGATATAATATGTAAAACTACATTTGATATATACACTCTGTATATACATCTTCTATGCACAAATATTAAATATATGACTAAAAATGTATTTTCCTTATTAAAACTTTTTCAAAACTTTATCAAAAAAAATTGAAATTTTAACAAGTTTGACTAATTTGAAATTAACGCGTAATCCCAAGTGATGTGTGCTACTAACCAAAAAGTTTATTAATAAATGCACATGGTTTTTTTAAAAATAATTATGAACTGAGTAATAACTATTAAAATATAATACATTTTTATGAACATTTAATTTTGATTCAACATAAAAAAAATTACCGATTCTAGTGAATTTGAATTTGTTCATATCTAAAGTTACGAGTTTCATTCCTCAGTTTCATCTTTAAATTATATTAAATCATTTACTCTGTGTATATATGAATTAATTGAATTATAGCTATCATAGCTCTTGTATTATAACAATAAAAGTATTTTTATAAGTAAATACATCTTTTTTTTCAGATTTTATAGAAGAACGGAGATGTATTTTAGAAAACGTTGGACCAGATTTACAAAACATGTACGATTCGACAGGATTGGAGGTAAGAACATTTAATTGATAATCGATGTAGTAATTAGTACTTATAACTTTAAGAATTTGTATATATTTCTTAATCATCCTGAAGTGGCATTAAGTATTAAACAAGCCATAAATTTATAATATATTATTACGATAAAGTAGAAAATATATCTTTATTAGGTATTCTAAGTCCCTCTTAAATTTCTAAGATAATGACAAATATATAATTAGATTAGAATTAAATGTATTCGATTTGGAAATCGTTTCTAAATCCAAGTTGGAAGAAAAATCGTTGAAAATTTTAAGATTTTTGTTTTAAATATATCATGTATATATAATAATAAAAAAATTAATTTTAGTTAAAAACGACAAATTTGCAGATAACAAATGACGTAAAATACAATTTTTAGAAAATTATACGACCATATTATAATTATATACAAATATAAATATATATACATTAATGTATGACTACTGTAATTTTGCTTTCAATACTATCAAAAACGTGGGATTATAATTTAAAAAGCGTTTCGTTGTATACTAAAATAAATCCATGACACATAAAAGCCATTATGTCGAATTAATGAACATATCTTTGACACATACAATATACGCACTAAGTCTGACATTTAAAAATCAGCAAAGTTTGTTTACTTACCTAATCAAATATTTTATTAGGCTGCTCACTCGGCCTCGTTTTTTTTAACGGATTTTAAAATACATCATATAAACATTTACTTATTTTCGCACAATATAACCAAGAAATAATATATAATAAATATGAACGTTATTCCAAATCCGATCGTCCACAACTTTTGATACTTAAAATAATTTTTAAACTTGTTAATACGTCGTAAAGGGAGTACTAAAAAAGTAATTTTTTTAACCATCATCCTGTACCTAATTATAAATTAAAAGTATTCAGCGGAAAACCCGTTAGTTTCACACAACTTTTTCCTCATATACGGCAGTACACGAGAAATATTTCAATTTTTTTTTAGTGTCACTATTTTCTACTTAAAAACTAAAAAATATGTAAGGTAACTCACCGCGTGCACTCAAAGTTACAGATCTGCGAGTTTTATTAAATGTGGGGAGCGATGCTTTCAGGAGCGTTCTCATTTCTCTTTAATAAATCAAACAACAAAAATGCTTGTCGTTTGTGTTCTATCATTTATTTTTCTTTTTGACTTTGCCGAGTTCTTTCGGCATCCTTGTTGCTTACTCATAAAATCGTATTTCTTCTCCATTGCTGAACTTTGCTTTGCGTACCCACTGTGTTGGCAGCGATGGTCGTCTAGATTATCATATAAACCCAAGAAACATTTCTCAAAGGCTAACTACTTGAGTTTTACCAGTGTTGGGTATAGGGATACACTTGTAAACATAAATAAATAACTTACAAGTAAACACGAAGTCTTATCTTTTTTTTTTATTAGCTCTAGTTCAGGCTAGAAATTGATGTACAAATATTATTCCAGTGGTTGGTCTTGTTAATGTAAGTTTGCATTCAATATTGAAAAACATTACTTAGTGTGATGTCAAAAAGACAATTCGAATGTTTTCGTTGTGATCTGAAACTTGATTACATTTTCGGGGTAAATGTACTTTATAGTTTACACGCTGTGTGTACGTTCGTTTAAAATTGTAGAATATGAATTTTGCACAAACTATAATGGAAATACAAGAATACTTTGAAGAGTTTTCAAATAAAAAGATCCGCTTTAAAAAGCTTAAATTAAAAAATTTCCAAATATGTCTAATAACAATTAATTCATAATAGATAACGAAATTATTTCATTATTAAATTATGTATAACTTAACCGGTTAAAGTATTCGTATTATAAATATTCTAGGTTTTGCAAAATTTAAGGATCTTTGACCAAGTACAATGCTTTGAATAAAATGTTGATTATGAAAATTCAATAATCGAATAAAATTATATATTATACATGTCTTATAATTATTTCATTAAGAATCCTGGTTGAACCTTTTAATATATTATTAATTTAATAGTGTGATCACTTGTCCTATACCAGAGGCGTAACGGTCTTGAATAATGCATATTGTATTCTAAAATCTATAATTAATTAGTAAGCTGTTGTTTCATAGAAGAGATTACAGAACACGGAACAGCTTTTAGCAGCTAGTCCGACAAGCTGTGTTACCCATTTATTATCATTCATCGTATCCCTATAGCTTTAGACTACTGTCCAACTTCGACAAGAAACATTCTAACTTAATTCATTTTATCTTAACACATTTTTATGCTTTTAAGATTAGGTTTAGAAATTTAATTCGTTTCCATTAATAATTTTAACAAAAAAATGTCTAGACAATTGTATCGAAAACTTTTTGTAAAACTCAATAAATATTTAATTCGTCCATTTGTACGAATAAGTTAATATCATTTTTAAATGGTAATTCGTATTATAAATCATATATGAAGTGTCTTTTACGAAATTTTAACCATAGTTGTTTTTAAAACAAAAAATAATTATGAACATATTTAATAAATAGCTACGTATTCATCTGTATTCATTATCACTATGTACAAAAATAATAATTAAAAGTTAATGATAATTATCTCCAAAGTTTTGCAATAAATAGTTGAAAATTTTAACTTGACTAATATAATATAATTCTAAAAATAATTTAAATAGCCTAAATAGTTTAATGTAAGTGTGATGATTTGATTATGTGTGTCCACTATAGTGTATAATGACAAATTGATCTCATTGATTTATCATAGATACTAATAAAGCTGGGTTAAATTGATTGTTCTCTCACCGTAATTATATTTGTATACAACAAAAATTATAATATATAATAATAATAAGAGTTATTAGAAAACCTATAATAACAAAGCAATACGTATTTTGAATTTCCAACAAGTACAATATACACGAACACAAAGAAAAGCATTCAAGTATGCATTTAAATAAATAAATGAACATTTAATATTGTTCGAACATATATTAAAATATAGAATTTTAAAAAAAAGTCTACCTATGATTGCAGCTCTAGAGCATGATTCAGCTCTAGGAACCGAATGATTTTTTCAGTTTTGGTGTTATATTTTTAATAATTTCGATTCTGTAGGGATATTGATTTTTCAATTTTAGTGATGTTTTTGTCGTGTTTTAAAGTTTCTATGGATTTCAGTCTTGCAATTTTCAATAGGTTCAAATTTGAAATTTTTACATAAATCTTTCAAGTCAATAGAACCTCATACAATCTAATTATAAATGAAGTAATTTTATGTTGCGTTATAAAAATCGTCTAATGTGTCTAACTTAATAAATCTCTAACCTGATTGAGCATAAAGAAAGTTTTCTTAATTTCAAGCAATGTTAAAACTCTGCGTTACACGGATTTTCTTCATCTATTTACATATTTTCCAATATAATTTCGCTGAAAATGAATTTCAGACATAGTTACGTCGCAAGGTACAGCAACTTCACTGCTGTTGTTTGGAAATATATTAATGTGATTTCAAGATTAAAAGCATCGTCCGGAAGTACGCCTCAAGTAATGTAATACAGTTTGAAAACTAGGGAGCCTATTGTCGAAAAGAAGGCGCCATAGGAATAAAAAGGATTTCTGAACGGAGAGTGAAAAATACCGTAATTGCATTGAAGACTACTCGCATGATGAAATCCATCATCAGAAAGTTGGGCAAAGGGATGAACTCGCGCAGTCATCACGGGCATTTTATAGTGATCACGCGTTAGTAACCCGATTAAATGCGTAAAGGCTTTTTTTGATTGGCTAACCGCCAGCCGTAACAAAAGCGCACACTATTGTTCGGACAATAATCACATTATTAGGTCACCATTTTCACCACCATCGTGTTGTCGATCAATAATCCTTTCGAATGGCTGAATGATGTATAATAACTATGCTTTTTCATAAGATAATAGTATTTCATGAATCCGAAACTACATAATTGCTAATACAGCTATTTGGATAGCTGTACATAATATCCGGTTTTGTTTAAATAATTATCATAATATTTGCTCACATTTTATGGTGATCATTTCAACGGTGCTTCTTTTTAACCTCGAACATTTTTTATATCTATATTAAGAATCACGAGCCACATAGAATAATACATAACTATTGTCGTTTATGATCAAATCTATCACCGCATAATATATATTTTGTTTCTTTTAAAATGCACTTAGAATGACTTAATACTTATTTTCTGAGCGTGGGCTTGCATTTTGATTGATTGTTTAATAACGTTATATGATTTTCATTCTATTATTCCATCAGTACACAAAAACTATCTTTTTGATTATATTTCTCAACTTTTTCTATCAAGAGATTAAACAGTGCTTCATTTAAATATGCATCTTAGATATATCAAAATACTTTGATTACACTAGAATTTGAATTTCCATGCTTCAAAAAAATTATTAAAAATATAACAAAAATAAGTAAACTGATAAACAAAATTTGCAAGTAACTAACTTTTTCTTAATTATTTACAGTTTTCTTTAAGTAAATGTATTATAATACTTCAAATATCAAAACTTCAATTAATCGTGCAAAAGTTTAAATGATTAAAAACAATTCAAATTAATTAAAATCCACCCTACTATTTTAGGTGGTGGTAAAACTATTGACCTGTAATGATTATTTACCGTTATTGATTAGATTCAGTTTAATTTATTTTTAAAAATATATACTAATTAGTAATTTACTACCGCATCCTGTGGATTTAACTTAATTGTAAATAGAATGCTAATTTTCATATAATTTAGAGTTCATGTAATATAACTGAAAAATATTCATTGCACTTAAATTGTAAATTATTATTTGAATGTAATAAATTTGCTCAAATCGTATATTAAAATTGAATTTTAATTAAACACAATATTCTTAAAACAATTTTTAATTACCAATAAAAAAGATTAAAGAAATAATATGGGTCAACGATATTTTCTTTCTCTATGCTACTCAAAAGTAATTTTTCAGAAATATTCTTAAGAAGCCTTTTGCTCTAAAAGTTTTTAC